AACCATTTGATCAATAAATATGAGAGATGCCCTCAAAAAAAAAAATGTCATTTGTATATCAGAAGTCTTTTACATATAAATTTTAAAGATACAAGGTATGTTAGGAAATGAAAAAAAATGCCTTGATACAAGTTACATATTTGTCTTCACAAATATTTGAACTTTTTAGGTACAAGCAAAAAAGAAGAAAAGCAGTGAAGAACGAGAAAAAGCAACAGCAAGTATCACTTATATTTTTACATGACAAGAAGTATAGCTGTTTTTGTTGGGTCATGGTAAAAGCATGATTTCATTTACTGGTACCAAATAAATATCATTCGAGAAAGGTGTGGTGTTCAGTTTCACTTAAAGGGTTGCAGCAGAAAGTTTAAGTGCTTTAGGAAAAAAGAAGATGATCCTGGTAGCAAACATCTGTTTCCATTTCTGTGTTTTACTCTTGGAAATGAAAGCTCAAACTTTTGTTTGACTCTTTTTAAGCTATGATATGAAAGATTAAAGTATGGTGATTCTATCTTTGATAGTAGTTATTTCCAGATCAGCCAAACCTGGTAATAAGAGAAAGCCTCTCAAAGCACAAGCTGCAATGAAAAATAAGCAGGAATGTAACAACATAAATGATTACTAATAAAGGTGATTCTTTTGATTGTTTCTAAAGCCGGCACTGCTTTATACAGATTAAGAAGTAGGAAAGAAGGAAGCGGAGAATAAGGAAAATGTAAGTGGTACCCAAATGGGAAGCAGACGAACCCTAGAGACAGTAGATAATAGATTACCAAGAGTGCTACAGGCCATACCAGCAAAGTATAAGTGTTGAGCTGTGGCCTTTGAAGGCATTTTCTTAGGGAGAGTGGAAGAAAAATAAGAATAGCATCACTTTAAGTTTGAGGGTACCCTGTTCTAGAATTTCTGTAGCTCTTAAAATGAGGGTCTTTCCCTAATTAGAAATTCATCTGGTAATATGCAATTCAGAAATAACATGCTTCAAGACCTAAGTGACTTAAGGAACTTTTTTTCTGAATGAGAAGATAATTCAGGTGAATTGTTTTCGTCTTTGATTCAGATTAATTAGTTCAGACATAACAATTAATTTTGGATGATTCTAATTTGTATTTGTGTATCTCACGTACACTCAGCTAGCTGTGTTTATTGAATATCTCTGCAGGCCCTGTTCTAGGTCTTCATAGAGCTGTTATAATAGAGTATAAGATAGATAAGAGTGACTTAGGGAGGGAAAGCCTCTGAGGAAGTAAAATTAAGCTGAAATATCATTTACAAGAAAGAGTCAACCATGTGAAAATGAAAGGAAGAATATTCTATGTAGAGAGAACAGCTAAGGACCTGTGGTGGGAATGAGCTTGGTATGTTTGAGGAACTGAAAGAGGTGAGCTTGACTCATACCTAATAGATGACGTAAGCTGAGCCCATGTAACGTAGCAAAGGGTTTTAAGCAAAGAGGTGACCTGAACCAACTTTACATTTTTAAAGTGCATTGGCAGAAGAGACAAGTGGACAGAGGTGAGGGAGGTTGTTGTTTGTGTTACAGTGGTAGTAATGGAGATGGGCTGGCACAATGGATTTGAAATACTTTTTGGACTTAAATGGTGGGACTTGGTGCTCTGGATGTGGAGAGTGTAGTTAAAAGCAAAGAGTAATCAAAGATAGATTCTTCATCTTAAGTAAGATGACAAATTAGTGGGTGCCATTTACTAAGATGGCTGAGAGAGGATTTGGAGAGAATAATTAAGCATATTTATGCTGATTTTAGATGTGCCTATTAGTTATCCAGGTAGAGCTGTTTGTGCAGCACTTGCAGTCTTGAGTTCAAGGTGTAGGAATGGATGTAAAGATTGGCTGTGTAGGCAGCATTTAAAGTATGTGACGGGAGAGCATGTGGAAAGAAGGGAAGAGAACCCTGAAAGGTTGAGGAGGAAGAACAACCAGCAAAGGAAATGAAGAGGTCTCTTTTCTGCTGTGACAGAGGAAAAACAGCAGAAGCTAAGATCAATATTTTAAGAGAGTGGTCAATTGTCCTTTTATGAAAAAGTTACCTATTCCTTTGCATTACTTCACCCTTAGAAACTGTGTCTAAAGTACAGCAACTGATACCATGATTCAGTTAAATTTATTTTCTACAAGGAATTTGTTAGAATCTTTATTAATGTGCTGCTAATGCCTTAGAGTTCTTCCTTATCTTTTTGAAAACCAGCAAGCAATCTCAGCCCTCATATGATAGCATTATTGATACTTTACAGGAAGTGTTTTGAGTAGTTTATTTGGTTGTATAGATTGTTGTGTAGTAGCTTAGAAGTACCATGGTAAAGTTGTTTTTAATTTGTGTATTTCATGTAGAAATGTCTCACATGGAACTGTATTTACAGGAAAGAACAAAGAAGAAAAAGAAGCATAAGAAACACAGTAAGAAGAAGAAGAAGAAGGCTGCTAGTTCAAGTCCTGACTCGCCCTAACATTGAAAAATCAGGATCCCCTTATAAAGAAAGTGCAATGTCTAAGGAAATTACAACTGTGAAAATTATGGCATAGTTACTAAAATGCATGAATTTTCTTGTTTTTAGAATTATTCCTGAACTATTCAGTAGCCACTCAGATGTTGCTGTGTTAAAGGGCCATAATTGTTGCCTGCTTCTTGAACATCTGTTTTTTTCTCTTCCAGTACTTAATAACTCTGGGAGATAATAACATTGCAGTCATGTTAGTGGTTAAGATATTTGGGAATAAAGTTAATATTTTTGACTAGAAGTATCTAATGTTAAATCAACAGAAGTTGAATCTGGATACGTCTTCAGACATGATCAGAAATGACAGGTGACTCAACATTTTTGAAGTGGGGATTACATTGATATTTCAAAATCCTTGTTCTGTAGATAAGTGTATTTTAATTTTTTCCCCTTGTATACTTTTATATACCAGGGGAAGGAGCTTTTAGGGTGGGGTGGGGGGGTTTGCTATCTCTTTAGCTAGCAGAATAGCGTGCCTTTTATCCTCATACATCCTATGTTTGTGGACACAATAGCCATGCTTCATGGAGAGGTCAGAGCTAGGTACAGCAGTCTTGCCCGTTATGGGGCTTAGTGACATTTTTGGACTCAGTTGTAATGCTGCTTCGAGTGAATCAGAGAAACAGCCCTTTGCAGCATGAGAAAGAGAAAGCCCCCAAAGCTCTGGGATTTACCTCCACTTCAGTTATACTGAATGTTTTTTTAGCTTTAGAATGTGTTCTAACATTTTAATTTTGACTACACTTTGGCTTTGGAGAGGAATAATTTCAAATAGACACTGGTACTTTTTGAACTTGATAGCTAAAGATTCTAAAATGCATGTTTTATACTGTTAAGTTTTAACCAGTCAGGAAAAACCTATGTAACTAACCAGTGATAGTTACTTTATTTTTTTGTGTGAATTTTGTTTAGGCTGTAATGTTTAGCTTTTATTAACTCCTTATTCTTGTCATCTTAAATTCCTTACTGTGTTTAATGGTATACTTGCCAAGATTTTTAGCATGTAAAAAGCAGGTTTTTGTTTTCTGTTTTTTTTTTTAAACAGCTTCATATTGAAGCTGAGAACCATAAACAAGTTGAGTGGCAGGCCTGGTATGCTGTATCTTGTTACGTAAAGCTATTTCCAGAATCTTAGTAAATATAATGTTTTAAAAGTTTGTCTTTGTATATTCATAACAAATTATGACAAGTTAAATACGAGAATTACATTATTCTTCTTCCTGTGTCATATTTTACTAAAATTTTGTGCCTCATATCTCCTGAAGAATTGTTTACTAGGAATGTTAAAAGGAGTTGATAAATCATTTTCACTTTACATTTTTATATAATCAAGTAATGAAATATAATTTGATGTACAATTTTGCCTGTTACAGAGGGTGTGCTAATTATAGTGGTATATGCACAAAACATTTTGGCATGACAAGAGCCTGAATAAATAGCTATTTTGCTTAAAAATAGCTCTGTTCTTATCAGCTCCCTTTGAGTCCCAAGTTACAAAGACTAAGAAACACCATTAGATGTTTAGTAGCTGGTGGATAAGACAGGTCCCCAAGTTTTTAACTGTAAAAAGAAACAAATTTCTTGGTGAGATCCCTTAAATTTTGTGCTTAAAGCTTCATACTCAAAAGATAGTTACCTACCCTTGAGTACACAGCAAGTTGAGGGACATTTTGTATTCAAAAGAAAGTTTCTCAGAATTGTTCATGAAAATGCTAAAAGATAAGTTTATCAGACTATTTGTTAATCAGTTTTGACTTCATACTCAAAAGATAGTTACCTACCCTTGAGTACACAGCAAGTTGAGGGACATTTTGTATTCAAAAGAAAGTTTCTCAGAATTGTTCATGAAAATGCTAAAAGATAAGTTTATCAGACTATTTGTTAATCAGTTTTGCTATGAATGTAAAAGTGTACCTTTGCAGACTGGTCCAGTATATGATGATTATGTCTCAGTAGAAGCAACTTTTCATTTTATTAGATTTGGGGGTGAAGGTCATGTAGCAAAAAACTTGTATCCTTTCCAGAGCGCCTTGACTGTCTGGGAAAAATCTTTTTCACTGTTTCTCTGATAGTAAGTAGCCTTAACAGTCTAGGAAGAAAATTTGACCACGCGATGTTGTATGCAAGTTAATAGCATCTATCTCCTCCTTCCTCCCTCCACCAAACCACCCTTTTTCTTGAATAGCCTTATACTAATTTTATTAACACAAGGTATGAATTATTTGGATAATGATCCCAAAGTAACTAACAAAATTGATGAGTGTTTGAATAGAAAATTTTAACTTCTGCCAGTACTTTTCTCTCTCTGATTGTTTTGGATTCATTTCATTGCCCTCAGTATATTTGGGTGTTTTAAATACCATAAGAGTGCTCTGAATTTCATCCAGAGTACAGGTTCACATTCCTTCAGTCAAGATGTGTTAAAAGCATATTGGCTTATTTTCTTTCATTTCATGGAGAATAGGCATTATAACCTCAGAGAAACTGAGAAGAGCTATTCTTCAGATTTAAGTAACAGGCTTCATTTATACTTTAAAAAACACTGGTTTTCAATTTAAAATCTATGAACACTCCTCTGAAGATACTTCCTCAAGAGAAATTTGGAGAAAGCTTTTTTTTCCCCAGTTTTATTTGCCTTATTTAAATAAAATTTGTTTTTATATTAAAAATTTAGTAAGAATATAGTGTCCTAAATTCAAAAGACCATTTTAGTGTGTTCTCTTGCCTTAACAACAATGAAGGTCCACAGACACACTAGAAGATTTGTTCTCTGTGCCAAAATTTCGTAATAGATGAGTTAGAACAGATGCCATTTTGGCCAGCTTTATCATCATCACATCATGTTTTCCTACCAGTCAATCAGAAACATTAGTGGTAAAAGTGGGATTTTCCATTTCTCTGGTTAACTCCCAGATTGAAGCTTCTGTTTGGATTTCATGAGAAGGTGCTGCATTAGAAATTTCAGAGGAGGTGATAACTTTTGAAGGAGCTGTTTATAGTCTAGGACATTATTTTAATTTAGTTATTATATGTTCAAATAGAGGAGTATTTTCAATTGTAGAATTTGTGCTGAGGAAATATGAATGATAGTAAGTAATATCAGGTATCACTTTAAATGGTGTTTAGCCCCACAGAAAAAGTAATGTTGGAATTGCTGTTGTACTTCAGATAAGAATAACATTAATGAAATCACTGCATTGTAGTGAGTGGTAACCACCATCGTTGCATATTTTTCTAACTACTTGAGAATCTTCTGCATCTGGTTGCTGGAATATTGCTGTGGTCGCATTCTGTGTTGGGTATGGAGTAGTGAACTGTGGAATCGGCACCCCAGGGCGCCTAAGGTTTGGAGCTAGGCCATCTGAGAAGTCGGCCATGTGTTAAAGCTACACTTGACATGGACCAGAAGGCTCAGGAAACTGGTGGACACCAGCAGTAGTAGTGTCAAGAGCTGTAAGTACTAACCAGACATCCAACACTGCCTGTGCAGACATTGGTAGCCATAATTGGACATTAATGAGTGCTTTATAACCCCAAAAATAGAGTTCTTCTATTTCCTATCTAACATTTGACCATTAAAAATAACCAGTAGCAAGTAAACCATTATCCCTGCACTTAATACCAAAAACACTTTAATCATCAGGTGTCCTAAAATACATTTGCGTATTTGGGAAGAATAGCTTGAGAATTTACATGATGACTTAAATGCTAAAGGATCATCTGCCAAGCAAGAACTAATTTCATTATAGTCTGAAATTGAATAAGATTTCAAAATATAAAGGTTGACTTTGACCAGTTCCCTGAATTTATTGGCACAAAACTCTGAGGAAGATGTTTGCTCTATTTCAGTGGATTGATAGAAATATACATGAACTTCAGATGTTGAAGAAATGGCATGGTGCCTTGCGTTGTATTTATTAAAACAAATCATCTTAACAGATTCTGAGGAATTCCTTATTGTGACAGACCTTAGAAAGTAATCTTGTGATTTTGTTTCTCAGGCACAACCAAAAATAATGCTAACTGGTAATTCTGAGAATTTGTTTTTAGACTTTGAAAAAGTTGCTTTCATTTCAGCCACTTCTCTAGCCTCATGATGGGACACCTCCATTTTCCATTGTGTGACCTTGATAAGACAGGTACCACCTTGTCTAAGAACCTCACTGTGGACCTAATTCACTGTTCTTACTCCAGTTCGATTTTAAATCATCTAAACTCCTCAAGCTCTTCTAGGGACTGTTTTCCAGTCCTGCTGTCATACAACCCTTAAAATCCATCGAACAGATTTAGCCAATGTTGAATGTAATGAGAAAAAGCATGTCATTTGCTGCTATCTTAACAGCCTGAGTTCTGTAACATTCAAAAGGAAATTTTGCCTACTTTAAAAGTGAAATTCCTCTTCCTGTCCTAATGAAATTATTTTTAGCAGTGTCTACTACCCAAATGTGTGTGTAACACGTTAATTTGCTATTTGAAAACAATTCTCTGTAATAGTCTGTAGATAGGAATATGTGGTCAGACCCATATCCCATATAGTCTTCTACAAAGAAGATAAAACAATTGTCAGAAAAGAAGGAATTGCATTCCTTTTCTTTTCCAGAACTTTTGACACTTATTAATCCTTGATTACTTTATACACTCAGATTACTAATATCTGATGTTTAATGAGCTCTTCATTGGTGAGACACTGGTTTACCTTCATCTTTAATTCTTAGAACAAACCCAATGAGATGTTATTTTCCATGTTTTCAGGGGATGAAACTAAGTCTCGGATAAATTGTCTAAAGTTATACAGTGCACTTTCTGATGGAGGAGGAGCTAGAGCCCAGGTGGTCTGAGGCAGTGCCTGCCCTCAGATTATCTTAATTTCTCAAGATAATCCTATTGATCAGCATTATAGACCCTCATGGTAGTGTTGTATAGTGCTGTTCCAGAGTATGTGCAAAATGAAAATTTGTCAAATTCAGCTCAGTGTTTGTGTTCTTCCAGTTGAGACCAGGATAGACACTGGTCTCATCATTGGAATTTGGTTCTTAATGGGCACCAATGGGGAGGAATGACTAGCCCTGCCTTGGTTTTCAACAAAGGATTGTCTTATCATTTCTCTTGTCATTCAAAGTTCTAATTGTCCCATGGCAGAAAGTTGAAATGGTTTTTCCTGAGCTTTCCTCTCTAGCTTCTTAGGGGAAGAGAATTTGTTAGACCCTTCTGTGCCAAGTGGCATCTTCCAGTCCAAACCGCTACCACTGCGTGACTTTTCTCAGATGCTCAGCTGGTTACCTACAGTTACCTCACAAAGGAGATTGATTTTTTTCATATGACTGTCTTATATTTTAGAACTAGTGTGACTCCTACCTATTGGTCTTCGTACTGCTCTCTATACAGCTGCATTATCAAATATGGTGACCAGTAGCTACATGTAGTTATCAGAATGTAAATTAAAATTAAGTAGAATTATGCAGTAGAGGGGGTGAGGTTTTGATAATATAGGTAACTGTTGAGCCACTGTGCTGTGTATTTGAAACCAACATAAGATTGTATACCAATAATACTTCAATTTTAAAAAATGTAAGTAGAATTTAAAATTCAGTTTTGGTCACAGTAGCCACTTAGGGCTCCATTACCACAAGTGGGTTGTGGCTACCAAATTGGACAAGATACAGAACATTTGCTTCTCGAAAAGTTCTGTTAGTGCTGCTCTGAGTTACACAAATAGGTAGTTTCCTTTTCCAAATAATAGTCCTTCTATCAAGTGGGAGAAGCAGGTAATTACCTCAGAGTATAATAAATGGCTTCATTGGTGTGCAATTGTGTGTTCTCAAAACGCTTAATTTAATGCTCTGCTAACATTTTTTGAGCAAGGAACCTGCATTTTCATCTGGCATTGGACCCACAAATTCTGTAGAAAATCCTGACTGTATCTTTTATTCATAGTATGGTAGGAGTATCTCCATCATCAGAATCACCAAAAGGTTTGTATTTAAAATACAGGTCTCTGGATACCACTCTACGCATACTAAAAAATCTCAAAATGTGACCAAGCACCCAGATTGTTCACTCTGTGTGTTAGGCACAGTAAGATTTGAGGATTCCTGATTAAAGTTACCTTTTCCAGGTGAAACCAGTTCTGTCTAACTAATGTCAGTCCCAGCTTGACTGGTATTAAGCTGGGAATTCTTTTTCACATGTATTGTCATTTACCCATACTTTTTCTGCTTACATGGAGAATCTTTTTTCCCCCAAATGTGGGAAACTCGACTGCATAATTTGTGGTAGTGGGGGACTGTATTCGCGCTTTCCCCTGAAAAAAAGGAAAAAAAAGTTAACAAACTTTTAAGACTAAGGAAAAATTTTAAAGCTTCCTAGTTTCTTGTCTTAGCACAGGTCAAGAGTTAAATTCTACAAGCTCCCCCACTTCAGATGTTAATCGTAAGGCCAGGTTGTTACCTATGCTTTT